TTTTTTTTTTTTTTTTTTTTTTAGTTTCAGGCAAGAACTAGATAACCCCAGGGTCTGGAGGATTCACAGCTAGATCTCAAATTTCCCCCGCCCCTTCCCCTTCCCCCAGAGACCAAGGTTGCCTTTTTCCCAGCCTGCCTACAGCATCCTGGATCCTATTCTCAGCCTTATTTTACTCACAGGAGAGACCAAAAGGCAGATGACTTGCCCAAGGTAAAGATCCCACCTAAATGGGACCAGGGATTTAGCTCAGTGGTTCCGCCGCCTGCCTTGCAAGCTCAAGGACCTGAGTTTGATCCCTGGTCTAGGCCTCACTGTTCATCCTTCGGTTTCCTCAGTGGTATCCCAATGCCAGGAAAAACAACTCAGAAGTCCTAGTATTCACACAGTTGGGTGTCTCCACCGCTCTTGGGGTACCCTTTTCACACCCCAGTGCAGTACCTTCCGGTAGCAAGTAAGGTCCTGCCCCACTCCCTTCTTTCAAACACACTAACTGCTGGGCTGGGCATGTAGCTCAGTGGGACCACACCTGCCAGGCAAGTGCAAGGTCCCTGTACCAAGGAAAACAAAACAAACAAACATACTAAGCCCTGTTATTTCAGATTGGTTCCTGAGAGTCCCTAGAAGAAAACTCATGACAGTGCCCAGGCTGCCAAAGAAGCAATGTCCCTGTGATCATCTCAAGGTCAATGTGAAGAAAATCAGTAAGTTTCAAGAGAAAAGCCTTTCTTAGCCAGGGATAGTGGTACACACCTGTAATCCCAGCACTTGGGAGGCTGAGGTAGGAGGATCAAGAGTTTGAGGCCAGCCTGGGCTACATAGTGAGTTCCAGGTCAGTCTCAACTACATAGTGAGACCCTGTCTCAAAAAACCAAAATAAATAAATACATAAATGACAAGCTACAGAGAAAGAGATAACTGTGATATATAGCCTACAAAGGATTAGTATCAAGATTATATGAAGAATCCCTACAGGTCAGTGAGAAGGCCAACAATACAATAGTCAAATAAACAAAACACCTGAATAGCCACTTCACAGATGAGAAAAGCCAAATAGCTAATAAACGTATGAAATGATACTTAATCTTGCTATTATTTGGAAAATGCGAATTAAGTCCAAAATGAGCCGGGTGTGGCAGCATATGTCTGTAATCCCAGCACTTGGGAGGCTGAAACAGGAGGCTGGCTTCAAGCCTGGTCTACATAGTGAGTTCAAAGGCCAACCTGAACTACACAGTGAGACCTTGTACCCCGTTCCCCCCAAAAAAGACCACAATGAAATTGTTGCTATACAATCATGGAATTGACAAAAGATTTTTACAGTCTGACAATTACCAAGCATTGCCAACACATAGAGAAACTCTCACATGCTGCCATTGGGACTGCTAAAGGTAAATCACATTGCAGAAGTGTTGGCAGTTACTTAATAAAGTTTAAGCTATGTGTACTACATAACCAAGCAATCCCACTGTTGGGCATACACTCAAAAGGAATGCTTATCCATACCGAGAGACATGTACAACAGCTGCATAATGGCATTGCTCATAACTACCCTAAAACTGACCAAAAGACACAAGAGAAGAGCTGTAGCATGACTTCATGCACTGTCTTAGGACGTCTTAGGATGTTGTAACAAAATACCAGTGATGGATAAGTCATAAGCAATGGAAATGCATTTCTCATAGTTCCGGACATTGGAAAGTCCATGATCGAGGGCCCACTTCCTGGTTGACAGATGCTGTTACCTGCGCCCACACAGGACAGAAGGGGTGACCTAGCTCCTTCTGCTCTCCTCTAAAGGTGCTACCCACTGAGCCCATCCGTCAGAGTTCTGCCCCCACGCCTATGTGTGCATGAATTTCTACAGATAGGTAGTATTTTGCAGTAACAAAAGATCTGTTCAAGGTGCCAGCCAAAGCATCGCAAGTATAATCTCCTTTTATTTGTTTTGTTTTGTTTTGTTGGACTTGGTCTCGCTTTGTTACTGGCTGACCTCAAATTTACCATGTAGCCCCAGGGTGGTCTTGAACCTCCAATCCCCCTGCCTCATTCTCCCAGAGTGCTGGGATTACAGGCCTGTGCCACCATGCTGGGCGCATCTTGTTTTTTTAAAGTAAACTATTATGTTTATATACAAAAAGATTGGGAAGAATATGTAGCCGAATATTGACAAGGGTTTGGTTGGTAGAAAACCTTTTACTGTTTAATGAATGTTTTTATTTCTCATTTTTTTCTACTAGACAAATCTTACTGTTGTAACTTTAGAGTTCTTATAGACATTGGACTTTAAAAGTTTTTTTAACACTAGCCTCCCCTTTATTTGTACCTTAGGACACCGCAGGCACCAGAAGAAGCCAAACAAGCACTTGCAAGCCTGCCGAGAATTTCTCAAACAATGTCAACTAAGGAGCTTAGCTCTGCCCTTGTAAGGGCTCTGAACGGAGCCTGCAAAAAGTCAAACCTGTCAAAAAGGCAGCAAAGGCAGCAAGCACTCCTAGAGCACACCCTTCCCCTCCCCACACCCAGGATCAATCCAGTGCCCTAAAGGTATTTTCCCCCAACATCACTTTGATGATTGCTCCTTCTGCTGTTTTCTTTTCTTTTCTGGTGCCCTCCCTCTCACCCAGCTTTAAGCTTTAATTACCCAATTACCTGGAAGAGACTAGGAAACCCATCCTCCTAGCTAGTCTCACTGGACCTTAAATATAATCAAGAAAAGTAACAGGGGGGCCGAGGATTTAGCTCAGTGGTTCTGGGTCAAGTGCAAGGACCCCAGTTCCATCCCCAGTAGCAGAAAAAAAAGAAAAGTAACAGGACTGGGAATTTAGCTCCAAGCACAATGTCGAGAGTTTGATCCCTGGTAACAAACAGAAGTAAATAAACGTCTTTAAACGTAATAGGGTCAAATTCATTTCTTTTAAATGGTGCCTAACAATTCACATTCAACCCGCATGATTCACTTTGCCCTGTTCACTCCAAATCCAACCCAGAGTCTACATATTCCTCCCCACCAAGACCTTTACTCTTTCTCCACTGCCCAACTTCTTATTTTTTTTTCCTGGGTTGGGGTACAGAGGGGGGTTACCAAGGATTGAAATCCAGGGATTGCTGAGCTATATCCCCAGCCCTTTTTGTTTATTACGAGAGTTGCTCTGGCTATCTCTCCTGCCTCAGCCTCCTCAGTAGCTAGGATTACAGGCACTTGCTCCCATTCCCACCTTTTTCATTCAACAAACCTTTCTGAGGCAAGAGGTAGGTGGGGCAAAAAAAGCAGGCATAGCAGTGAATCAGATATTGTCTTCTGAAAAATAATATAATTAAAAAACTGTCACAGTTTCCTAGCAGGTAGGCAGCCTTCTGTATTTATGATCGCTATCTCTATCATCATCATCAATAGTAATGGTAGTCTGTAGGTTCCCAAACTAGTACAGAAGATACTGGAGAATCTCAAATGTCATCCCAAAAGGCTTCCAGCTGTAAAAATTGGAGGACAACGTGCTTTTTTTTTCAGCACTGGGGAGAAGTGATCCGTGACAATATAAAGAGATAAAATTGGCAACCAGGTATAGTGATGAGTAAAGAGGGAGAACTTCTTACAGGGATAGAGACTCTGTCCCTCTCTAACCCTTTCCTAGAACAGGAGGGGAGAGGAGACAAACAGGAGTGCTCATTCAGAACTGGCTTCTGTCTTCCTAGATGAAACAGAAGACCACACTGGAATGCTTTCCTTAGGAAAGGGAGCATTCTAACTGACTGGAGAGAGGGGTGGGGCCCTGTTTATGACACAAGAAGGCAAGCCCCTCCCTTGCGGTAAGAGAGCTCAGGGCACACAGATTCCTCCTAGCCCTGGTCCCTCTCCCCAAAGTAGGAGCCACAGAGGGCATCTGTTGGCACAGGGGTGGGGGCAACAATCAGCCAGCTACCCAAAAAGGAAGATCAGGGCTTCCAGGACGGAGGACTAGGCTGCAAAGGGAGGCGACATTATGAGACATCTGTGAAGAGGGAGTCCCCAGGGAAACTCAGAAGGATGAAGCCTGTGACATCAGCATCTTCCCTGAGGGAAATGACACCCATGGAGCCAGGATCTAAGTCAGTGTCCAGGCCAGCCTGGGAACCTGAGCTAGACCAGAGACCTCTAACCCAGCCAGAGCCTGGGCCAGAAAAAAGATCCACAGCCCAGCCAGAATGGAAAACTCAGCAGCAATCCAGCACCCAGCAGGAGTTTGCATCACAGCAAAGACCTCTCACCCAGCAGAAGGCCTTCACCCAACATGAAGTCGAATTCCAGCATGAACCTAGAACCCAACAAAAATCTGTGTTGCACCAGAAATGTCTTGCTCCAAAGTCATCACTCCCCACCCACAGAGTGTACATCAGTCAACAGGAAGCTACCTTACTGCAGGGACCTGATCCAGAAAAAGTGCCTACAACTCAACAGGAACCAGAATGGAGACAGAAAGATGTAGCCCAGCCAGGACCTGGGCCAACAACGCTATCTCTTGCTCAAAAAGCTGAATTAGCACCGATAGCCCAGAAAATATCTGGACCCAAAAAAGGACCACCTGTCCAGATGAAGTCTATATCCCAAAAGAGACCTGAACAGGCAGCCCCTAAGGCCCAGCAAACACCTCCAGTCCAGGGAGCCAAATCCAAGGAAGGACCTTTGACAGAGTGGGAATTTCTAACAAGACTTCACGAACTCTCTGTACAGCGATCAGCCCCAGAGTGGAAGGTTTTCTTTGAACGGATCACAGATTCAGACTCAGAATTAGATGTTAGACCATCTTCAGAGAAAGATCTTCCAGCCACAACAGGTGGAACAGTGACTCCAGGAGTGAAGCCAGCCTCTCAAAGGAAACCTGGTTCTGAAAAAATGCCAGGATGTGGTGGAAAGTTACTACGTGGTAAGACTAGTGCCCAGGACCACAGGTGCTACCCAGACCCAGGTAAGTCTGACCCTGGAGGAAATGGAGCCTCCCGGGGACAGTCATGCACACATTCAAGAAATACTAAAAGCTTTTTATACACTGAGGTAGCTCAGGTTATCCTTCAGCAACCCTGTGAGATAAATATCAACATCTCTAGTTTTCATGTAAAAAAAATCAACATTGCCATTTTAAAGAAAAAGAAGGGTCTTGCACAAAGCCATCCATTAGGAAGCATCAAGCTCAGGATTTAAATCTGGGTCTTTCTCTCCTACCCAGGACTGCATTTCTACAAAGGACTCTGGTAATCTCAAATAGAAATAGGAAAGAGCTCTGAGCAAATAGGAAAGAGCTCTCCCTTGCAGTGGAGAAAGGAGAATGCAAGTTTATTGGTGAAATGGTGTGGGGGGGTACCTATTGAGTAGCCTGAAAGGGGGAAACAACACAGCGCCAATTCTAAAGCTAAGGGCACTTACTAGGTCGTAGCGTGGAGGGCAAGCAAAGCTTGTCTCTGCCCAGAGGCCTGACACACACGCGCGCGCACACACACACACACACACACACTCTGCCTCCGGGAGGGCCCTCAAAGAACTGAGGTGAACAGGGGTGTCAATGTCTCAGTGCCCGTGCTGGCTGTATGCTTTGGCAAGAAAAGGAGAGTTTGAGCCTGCTTTTTGGACACAGGGTGAAGAGTTGCTTCTCTAGAATTCCAGATTCCAGTCTCAAGGGACACCCCCACCACGCAGCAGCAGCTAATGAGGCCGCTTCCCAGCAGCTGACTGGTGCACGGGCCTGTTTCCCACCTTTTCCCAGCCACATCCACTCCCTCTAATTTCAGTCCTCCCCACTTGCCAGTCCACAGCCTGAAGCTAGTGAGCAAGCACCGGGCACTCCCTTCTGGCTTCTCTCATTGTGTAAAGAGAAAGAGAGCAGGGGGAGAAAAACAAACCCAGGAGGGCTGGGCTTGGTGGCTCAAGCCTGTAATTCCAGCTACTCAGGAGGCCGAGACGGAAGGGTCAAGAGTTGGAGGCCATGGCACACGCCTTTAATCCTAGCACTCGGGAGGCTGAGGCAGGAGGATCACTGTGAGTTAGAGACCAGCCTGGGCTACAGAGTGAGTTCCAGGTCAGTCTCACTACATAGTGAGACCCTGTCTCAAACCCCCCCACCCAAAAAAAAGAGTTGGAGGTCAGCCTAAGCTACATAGCAAGTCTTTGTCTCAGCAAAAGGAAAAAAAAAATGCCGAGGGATATACCTCGGAGGTAGAGGTATATCCCCATGGGTTTGATGCCCAATACCACCAAAATTAAAACAAGAAAAAGATCTGGGCACTGAAAGTACTAGAATGGTCGGGGGGGGGTGGAGTTTTTTTTCCAAGGCCCCCGGCACAGCCCCGCCTCCAGTGCTGGTCCCGCCCCTCTTCCCAGTGGTCGAGCTGGGCTGCCTTCTAGGGGATCCCTCCGTGGGAAGGTGAGTGGGATAGCGAGGCTGAACACTGGCACTGAGAAGAACGCGGCTTACGGTTGGCATGACCTCCACGGGGCTCTCCACGAGTCCTGTTTGAAAGACGCTTTTTGCCGCCTACGGGCTGCATTTTTGTTAGCCGAGGGCTCTTTAATGCGTGCGAGGGGGCGGAGCCAGGCCGTGGGCCCTAGCGGCCAGGGGCGGGGCCCGCACGGGGGCAGGGCCGGGATTTTGGAGCACGCCCGGCATTGGATGGTTTGGGGGCCCGGCGTTGGTGTTGAGTAAGGATTGGCCCTGGCGGCCCGGCCCGGCAGCAGGAATTGGGTCCAGTGGTGGGACCACGGAGAATTCATGGAGTCGGCAGGGGGATCGGGTCCCGCTGGGGCCCGGGTCTCGAAGAATAAGAAAGAGGGGTTGAAGAGCCGCACTCGTCGACGGTGGCGGTGGCTAAAAGCCAAAGGTGAGCTCAAGGGCTCGCCGTAGCCCGGAAGGAACCGGGCACCTCTTGTACGGCACTCAGCATCGAGTGGAATGACCCACTGCCACGAAGAGGGGGCATGCCCGTGGACTAGCCCATTGCCGTCCTGTGTAGGGGAGTATGGACGATCTTTTGTGGGAAGAGGGTGATGGGAGAGCGGAAATGTCCCACCGGGGCATTGAAACTACCGGACGCCCCAGTGCCGTCTTAGAAGCAGTCTAGATTACGAGTCTTTGTTCAAAGTTCACGCTCGGATTCCGTATTCGCTGTGAGACCGAGGGCAACAGCTGCCCTCCGTGGTCCCTACCTGGGAAATGGTTTAAGCATCGATTTTCAGATCTCGGGTGCTGTTGAGAGGATGGATAATGGGCAAGCGTTTAGCAGCTGTTACCCAAGGGGATGTTTAGGGATGAGTCAGGGAAACGTAGGAAGGGGTGCTGGCAGTTGGGAATGCAGCTTATCACAGCGTAGTCCTCCAGCACTTAGTCAGCCAGTCCTCCGTTCAGTGTCATTGTCATTTCCACCTGCACCAAACCGGCTCCACTAGGGCCTAGCTGGTGTCCCACACCCCTCCCAGGTCAAGGGCTCCACGCTGGCTTTGAACTTTCTTTCATATCCTCCTTAAAGAGAAGGAAGGACCTTTGCCCGGGTTTCCTAGATCTCAGAAGGCTAGAGACAAAACCAACAGAGATAATGCAAGCTTCAGGCAGAAGCAGGCATGAAGTCCTGGTTTCGAAATGAGTCTTTGCCAATCTCAGTGAGGACCTATGGGAAGTTCTCCTGCAGGAAGGAAACTGACCTGCCCTTCCCCTGGCCTCAAGGACCTCGAATTTATCTTTGTCCCTGCCTGCATCCTTCATCAAGGTTAAAACGAAAGTTGGCTCCAGAACAACCCACGGTTGAAACAGGCTGAGGGTTCAGACTGGAGCCTGAGGGCATCTGCCATCATGGAAGACACTGGTAAGCAGGACAGTATAGACCAGGTGAAGAGCCTGGGCATTGGAGGCCCAATGCCTTAGGCTAAGAAGTGTGACATACCGGTCAACAGGCTCCTTCCTTCCCTGCCTCAACTTTCTGAGTGCTAAAATATGCAAAATGATAGCAGTACTGGGATTGCTGTGAAGTTCAAATAAGTACAGTGTTTGACACACAGCAAGCCCTCAGGGGAAGTGGAAATTATTATTATTGTCAGTCCCCACTAAACAGTGAGCTCCCTAAAAGTGGGCTGTGTCTTGTTTACTCTATAATGTCAGAGCCTGTAATGTTAGCCATAAAAGCATTCAAATATCTATTGGATTAATAATCAAAGGAATGTGTAAACTGAAATATAGGGATATTAATACTCATGCTTCCCTCGGGGCTGTCTGGAGGAGACTGGAAGGGTCTGCTTGGGTAGAGGTCCCTGTGCCTTCCTCTTCGCAGACTCAGACCCACCTACTCACAAAGGCCATGATCATCCCCCTAAGCTGTGAGATTTGCCTGTTATTTCCTGAGGCCTTCCTGGTGCCAGGCTTCAGACAAATGAATCAGGCTCCATCCCATTCTCCAAAGGCATCCAGGCTGGCTGGAACAATCCTTAGTATCAGTTTGATCTTGCCCGTAGCTGGATGAGAACAGTGTCATTATGATCACCCCTGTTCCCCTATTGGGACACTGAAGTCCTTTCTGACCTGGCCAGTCAAGAGCTAGCCACCTCCAGCCTCCTCCGGGCAAGGAAGATGTGAGTTGGCAGTTCTTCTGGCTACCAGCCTTGATTCCAAGCCCACAAGGCTGTGGTCACACAGCGTCATTCGGCAGACATTCACTGAATGCCTAGTGCTGTCAGGTCTGGGCTCTCGGGGAGGAGCAAGACAGACTCACAGTGGAGATGGGGACACAGATGTTAATCGGATGACACTGTTATCATAAACTGTGACAGGTACAACTGAGGAAGCACCTTGGGAAAATGAAAGAGGGAGGCTTCCCAAGGAAGTGACACCGGGCCCAAGGATGGGCATGTGTAACTGTGGGGCAAGGGGGCAGGGAGGACAGAGGACAGCATGAGCAAAGACCTTGAGCGGGAGAAGGCAGCACGTGACAGCGCAGGGGAGCTCAGAGAGGGAGAAGGATGGTAACAGGAAGCTGGGGGGCAGGGTCGGCGAGTTCAGGAGGCCAGGTCCAGAATTTGGAGCTTCATTTTGAGAGCCAGGAATGAGGCATTAAAGGGTTAGGTGTGTGGTCCCGCTTATGTTTTAGAAAGACCCCCCGCTGGATGCTGTGCATAGAACAGATTGAAATCACTCACACACCCACCCGAATACACCCAGTCATGTATATACATTGATGTGCACCTACACGTACACACCCTCACAAGCCAAGAAAAATGGAAAGACACGGGCTAACAAATACACGTAGGCCGTCACACTTGCATTAAAACACCTTCGACACACAAGGAACGGGAAAGTGTGCAGGCTGAGAAAATGTCAACACCCCCCACAAACAGGGGCAGGACACGTACCTACAAATGTACATGCTTGCATGTGAACACTCTCACTCCTGACTGTCCAGAAAGCGCACAGCAGAGGCAGAGAAAGGAGCAACAAAGAGACGCAGAAACCCACGCAAAGACCAGTACCACTGACCTGGAGCTTCCCTTGCTGGCTCTAACCCTGGGCAGCCTCTCCGAATCTCTGTTTGCTCATCTGCCTAAAGAGGGTGATAATGGTCCCCACCTCGTGGGTGGGTCATGAAGAGGATGACACACGTTACCCCTTGTGATGCACAGGAAGAGAACAGTCCCGGCACACATCTGCTCTTTCACGTGGACGCTGAGGGAGGGACTCGCTCACTTGCCCCACCTGCACCTGATCTCAGCATCTCACAGCTGCCCACTTCGGAAGCCCTGGCCCCCTCCCAGTCCCTAAACCTGGCCCATCTCCATCCTGCCCCTACATCCTTTCCCCACTGCACTTCTCACCCCGGCTGCATCCCCAGGAGCCAACGACCAGGCAGGGTCCAGTTACCCAGCAGCTTTTTAGGTCAAAGTGCTGGTGCACGGTCAGCTGAATAACCCCTACCAGGCCCCTGGTCCCCACCTCTGCCCCACTCAAGCCAGGTTCACCCATGGCCCTAGTGCCCTCTGCCTGGCATTCTTAACAAGCTTCTGGCAACCTCAGTATCCCCTCCTCTTGTTTCCAGCTAGCCAGGCCTTGAGGGAGCTGCCTGGAGCAGGGCACAGGGCAGAGCCTCGCAGTCACCGGGTTTGGGGTCCAGCCCCTTCCCCATTGCTCTGTGCATGTTACTTATTCCGTTACAGGCTTCCTCTTTCCTTATCACAAAGACCCCTATTCCACGGAGGAAGTGAATGAGATAATTTAGGGGAAACGGCAGAGTGAAGGAGTATTTAGCAAGTCCACCCTGCACTGTACAGCGACTGAATAAAACAAAGATCCTACCTTCAGAGACCTAGAATCTAGTAAAGGAAACAGCAAACAACGTAAAAAGGAAGTTGCGGAATACGTTTGATAATGACATGCCGCAGAGATAAGTTACCCAACCCACCATCTTCATGTGGCTCAGCAGCTCACCAAACACAAAATGCAGAAAGTACCTCCCTAGGATGGGGCCGTAGCTCATGGTACCGCACTTGTGAGCCTGTAGGAGCCCCTGGGTTCCATCCCCAGCACCACAAAAAGAAGAAAAAGTGGCACCCACAAGGGACTGCTTATAACGCATGTCCCTCACCCCAGGTGGAAGAATGGTCAAGTAGTTTCCAAATGCAGAAGCCAGATATGCCTGCAATTTCCTGATGAATGGCTTGAGCTCCTGTCTCACTGTTACAGCCGCTGACCTAAACTGCCTCCTGAAGGCCCTGCCTGGCCATCTTTCCATGTGTCGACAGCGCTGGGGAGGAACAGTTCTCCCACTCACCCCCGTCTGCCCCCACTATGCCTAGTCATGCTGTCTTCCTTCTTCAGATATTTTTTGAGCACCAATATCCACTGAGGCACATGGTAACCACTGGGGCCACCCCCTGCCCTCGTGAGGTGACAGAGAGGGGCAGAGACAAAGACTTAGCTACAGCCTGGCAAATAATGTAAAAGCCTTCAGGGCCTCGCATTTGCACAGGCCCCTGCCTAATTTTGCGTTTGTAATTTTGTATTCTTCCTAAAGAGCCAAATCCCTGTATTTTATAGGCTTTATGACTATAAAACCTTGTTCCTGGGGAGAAAAACAAACAAACATAGAAGAACTAAGCATTATGGGAGAAACTAGTGGAAGGACACATCTTAGATGGGGAGGAGCGGTCAGGAAGGACCTCAAGCTAGGCCTGAAGGATAAGAACAGGCCAGTCAGTCAAGGAGCTTGTGAACTAATGAAGGAAGTGTCTCTCTGCCCCTCTGTTTCCCCATATTCGAGGTAAGGGTGGTCGAGCAGGGTGGGCGGTGAAGGGTAAGCGGCAGGTACAGGCTGCCCAGAGAGGGATCACCTTCTAGTAGGACCTATGGCTCAGGCCCCTAGCTGAGCTTGGCACTGCCCTTAATCGGCTTTTGTCCTCCCTAGAGAGACAAGCAGGGCTGGCCACTTTCTCTCTTCTCCCAACAGCTGGGGCTGCCTGTGCCAGGCCCAGCCTGGGGGTGGAGACGGAGATCACTGGGCCTTTGGCTGAAGGTGGCTGAAGGAGGAAGGTGGCCTGGCTGGGTGAGAGGGGACAGTGTGCTTAGGACTCCCGGGTCCTAAGGGAGAAGAAGGCTCGGGCCCTGCATTCCTGGTTTTAAAGCAGAGGGGTTGGGGGCTGGAGGGTTCTATGGCAGAGGAGCCTGGACAGTTGATCTGGGGCTGGCAGGGATCAGGAGGAACAGGGACTTGGACTCTGTGTTCTGTTTACAGCAAGTGTTTCCACTGTCCTTTCTGGGAGGGAGGCAGAGAGGGTGGCCACACCCTGGGCAGACTGGCCCCTCCCCTCATTTATGGCCCCAAGCTGCTACTGGCACTAACCTCAGACCAGCAGTCCCAGCTGAGGGAGCTCCAGCTCTGAGGAGGCCTGGGAGGGGTGAGTGCATGACCAGCTGAGAGACAGGAGTGGCTGCTGCCTGACCCCAGAACCTGGAAGGGAAACAAGATACCTTCTTCTGGGGGAACAGGGGACGAGGAGCAAGGCAGACTCCCAGGCTTCAGGAAGGGAGAGTTCTGCAGGCAGATCGTAGCATCCCCATCAAGGGGGCAAAGGCTTGTCCAGGTCTTAGGTGACAGGCTGTCCAAAAACCAGGGTGGCCTAAGTGCCTGGGGAGGACAGGGATCCCAGGGGGAGTATCCCAGGGGACCTGAAAGATGGGGAGTCGGATGTCGTAGAGGCAAGTCTTGAGGACCAGAGCTAGAGGCCCAGCCTCAAGAGTCTTGGGATGGAGACCAGCACACAGATATCTGGGGTCGGGTGAGTGCTGCCCCTCTCTGTGCACCCTCCAGCTCCTTACTGAAGCACTCTGAGCCTGTTCCCTCCTGTAAAGCGGGGATGCTAGAAACTCGATAGAGATTTGAGCATAGACAGTCAGGATCTCCCAGAGCTCAGGCACTAAATGCACAACCACACAGAAAGTTGGAGCACAGGATCTGGCCCAGAGGAAGCTCAAGGTCAGTGGTGGTGATAGATGTCAATATTCCAGATAGGGGAGCAGGGTTGGCTGTGCAGTGTAACTGGACAGGCACAAAGGCCAAGGAGCCTCATTGGAGAAGTGACTCTGAGCTTTGAGGACTCCACAGGGGAACAGGAAAGAGCTGGAGTTTGGAGGGTCTTCTACTTCCAGGCTGGAGGACAGGAGTGAGTCATCAGTGAAGACTAGAATTATGAACTCCAAGGTTTAGAAGGTTGTGGGGCACTGGGAGCAGGGTCCTGGGAGGTGGGAATGGGCGGGCAGGTGCTAAATGTTCCCAAATATTGTTGGAGAGGAACAGCCTGTGGGCCTAAGAAGGAAAGATGGGATGGGCGCCTGGACTCCTGAGTCGAGATAGGGGACCAGCTGGGAGTCCAGACTTCTTGGAACCAAGGAGAAGGAACCCTAGGTTCCGGGAGAATAAAGGGAGTCTTGGATCCCTGGAGGAAAGGGTGGGGGGAGACACCTGGGTCCTAGGGAAGATGCAAATGCTAGGAAATCAGATTTCTTTTCTTTTTTGCGGGGGTGGGTATTGAACCCTGGGCTTTCACATTGAGCTACGTTCCAACCTTTTATTTACTTTGCGGGTGGGGGGTCGTCTTTAAGATAGAGTCTCACTGTGTAGCCCAGGCTGGCCTTGAACTCATGGTAATCCACCTACCTCAGCCTCCTAAGTGCTGGGATCGGAGGCATGTGCCACCACACCCGGGCTTATTTTTTATTTTGTGACAGGGTCTCTCACTAAATTGCCCAGGCTGGGTTTGATTTTGTAATCCTTCTGCCTCAGCCTTCCAGAGTACTGGAATTACAAGCATGCGCCACTACTCGCAGCTTAAGAAACTAGATTCTTATGGGCTCAAGAGACTGTCTGGACTCCTGGGTCCAGGAGAGAGGGGATGGCCAGAGAGAACGGGTTTCTGACTCACTAGTAGGAGAAAGCAGGGACCCTTGAGTCCTGAAGAAGTGGAGTCTAGGGTCTAGATTCCAGGTCTGAGGAAAGAGGAGACTGAGGGCTTAAACCTAGTTTCTGAAAAGGGGACTTGGACTCACTAGTGTTAAGGAAAGAGCAGGAGAAGGCCCTGGAGTCCTGGAGATCAGGGGTAACCTTCTAAGTGTGAGGGAGGAGGGGGCTGGAGTCTTGGGCCCCTGAGCCTGAAGAGGCTGAGGACGAGGGGGCGAATGCCAAGCTGGGGAGAGGAGACACAGGCCCTGGACTTGGCCCAGACCCCAGCCAGAGCTAACAGGCCTCCTCACCCGCCCACAGCCTCCCGGCTCATGCACACCATGGACCTGCGCACGATGACCCAGACTTTGGTGACTCTAGCAGAAGACAACATGGCCTTCTTCTCCAGCCAGGGACCTGGGGAGACAGCACGGCGGCTGACAAGCGTTTTTGCAGGTGTGCGAGAGCAGGCGCTGGGGCTAGAGCCAGCCCTGATCCACTTGCTGGGTGTGGCGCATCTCTTTGACCTGGACCCAGAGACGCCGGCCAATGGGTACCGCAGCCTGGTGCACACAGCCCGCTGCTGCCTGGCGCACCTGCTCCACAAATCCCGCTATGTGGCCTCCAACCGCCGCAGCATCTTCTTCCGCACCAGCCACAACCTGGCTGAACTGGAGGCCTACCTGGTTGCCCTCATCCAGCTCCGCGCTCTGACCTACTATGCCCAGCACCTGCTGGCCACCAACCGGCCAGGGGGGCTCTTCTTTGAGGGAGATGAGGGGCTCACTGCTGAGTTCCTGCGCGAATATGTCACTCTGCATAAAGGCTGCTTCTATGGCCGCTGCCTGGGCTTCCAGGTGAGCCCGCCCCCTGCTCCGAGTTCCTCCAGCCCACGGTAAAGGCACCTGTTGCTCCTCACCCGGCCGGGTAGTATAGCAGAGTAGCCACAGTAGTTAGTATTATTGGGTTCAGGAAACAGAGAAACGGGAAGTTGGCTGGAGCTCAGTGCTGGACTGGGTGTCTCAAATTCATAGCCTTGGACCACATCTGCCACATGCTGAGAATGTGCACAGCTTTTTTTCACCAGGATCCCCACTATTCTCTGTTGCCTGACACTCAGGAGAGTCGTTGGATGTTACCCATCTGGCTCCGGAAGTTCCTTGAGCTTGAGACCCCTAGGAGAGGGGTCAGCATTGTTCAAAAAGGCCTGTGTTCTGTGGAGGGAGGGAGGGCGCCAGCCCACAGCTGCCAGATCCACTCGTCTTTCAAGTGGCTGTGAAATCACAGGATTTTCCGGCAGCCTTCAGGGCACCAAGAAGCCCAACTAGGATGTGAGGAAGTCCTGGTGCCCACGCTCCTTCCTGACCCCAGCTGTAGGGCTTCTCCTACCCTCTGCTCGTCCCGAAGCACCCTCAGGGAGACAGAGTTTGTCAACACACAGAAAGCGAGGCAGCCAAAGGCTGTCAGACTTGTGTAAAAGTGATCTGGGGGGCTGTAAAAGAGCCCAGTGGTGCCGCCGCCTGCCTCGCAAGTGCAAGGTCCTGAGTTTGATCCCTGGTACCAAAAAAAAAAAGAAAAGAAAGTGTGAAAAGTGATTTGGGGACTTGGAGAATTGCGGGAACTTGGGGCATCAGGCTCAGAGCAGAGACCCACCATGCCCCTGTCTGGGGTTAGTGCCAGCTCCCCTACCACCACCACCAGTTGTACCAGGGAGCCCCAGCAAGAGAGTCTGAGGCTGTGACCCCGCAGTCCTTCCCACCCTCTCTGGGCCTCTCTCCATCTCAGCGATGGCCAAGCTCAGCAGTCTCTTAGCCTTCCTAGCCAACCGTATCACCCCAAGCTTCCCTGAGCACCAGCCTGCCCTCCACAACCCTTCCTGGAATTCTGGAAACCTCCCTCACTCAAGCTGAGTGCACAAACACCGTCAGCTCAGCAGAGCCAGCCAGGCCCTCCCCACGTCCTGGGAGTGACACTGGAGTCGTGGGAAAGATTCTGAACTGCCTAGACCGGTATCCCAGCCGCAGTGGTCAGGCACCCCGGTGCTCTCTGGCCTGCTGGGTCCATAGCCAGGAGCAGGGCCAGAGCTCGCTGACAGCTTCTCTCTGCAGGCCCGGCCTCCCCATCTAAAAGGTCAGCCCCTAGGAGGGCAGACACCTTCCCTTCCCGGTCACTTCCCAGCCCTGCCCGGCGTGCAGCAGGCTTCCGGGCCATGGCCAGTGTTTGTAGAATGAACAGAACACTGCCTACCCCTCGACTCAACCTCCTCCAGCTTTGCTTCCTCTTTTCCTGCCTGTCTCCCCATTCCTCTGTCCCCACCTCTAACCCTCCGTCTCCCACCTGGCTTTTCGCCTCAACATCCCAGTACCTAGCAGGCTGTCTCTGGCCATCTCCCCACTTCTGTCCTCCTGCTGCCCTACACTGTCCCCTACCGTGTGCCTCACCCTTCTAGATCCCTGGGGCATCTTCCCAGCTCTCAGGCCTCCAGCGACTCCCCTCACACTTACAATGAAAGGCAGGCACCTTAACCTCAGCCCTACCTGACCCCACCTCTCCCCAGTTTACTGATCTGGCCACGCTGGCCCTCTGGGCCTCCCCTCACTGCCTGTACCCAGAGCTCTTCTCTCCCTGTTCCCTCTCTTGTGAGCACCCTCCCCTCATAGAGCCCTCTGGCCCCATTCATGACTGCAGTCCCACCACCTGCTGTCTGCCTAGATCGTGTGTGCTCCTCGACACTGTTGCATATGTCTTCATTTATTTGCTCATCACTTCTCTTCCCTTTAAGAACACCAGGTCCAGAGCCGGGCGTGGTGGCGCACGCCTGTAATCCCAGCACTCGGGAGGCTGAGGCAGGAGGATCTCTGTGAGTTCGAGACCAGCCTGGGCTACATAGTGAGTTCCAGGTCAATTTCAACTACATAGTGAGACCCTGTCTCAAAAAACCAAACCCCTCCCCCCACAAAAAAAAGAACACCAGGTCCATGAAGGGGCCCAGAGCTGTGCCCAGCACACACGGGAGCTTGGGAAATGCTTCCTGAATGAATGTGTCTTCCCCCGCCCACTTCTGCCCCTCACTGCTGCCCTGTCCTTGGCGGGTGGGTAACTGGCATCTCTCCACAGTTCACGCCCGCCATCCGGCCGTTCCTGCAGACCATCTCCATCGGGCTGGTGTCCTTCGGGGAGCACTACAAGCGCAATGAGACTGGCCTCAGTGAGTGCTGACCGGACCCTACCCACAGCCTCCCCTGCTGTCCCTCCTCCCCATTCCCGCACAGCGGCCTGACCTGCTGGGGCTCCCTGACACCCTTCCTGACCCCCAGGTGTGACCGCAAGCTCACTCTTCACCAGTGGCCGTTTTGCCATCGACCCAGAGCTGCGCGGGGCCGAATTTGAACGGATCATACAGAACCTGGATGTGCATTTCTGGAAAGCTTTCTGGAATGTCACAGAGATCGAGGTGTTGTCGGTGAGCACAGGGCCAGGCGAGGGTCCTGAACTATGACAAGTGGGGACATCACACTGATGTCTAAGACCAGTGTGAAGCCACAGCAGGTCAATGCCAGGCCCCAGGCCCAGGGACAGTGCGTGAGGGGAAAGACTGAGGGTGGGAGGGGAAGTGTGGGGCACCCTCGCAGGAAGCCTCTCCTTATCACCCCTCTCTTCCCTCCCGCCAGTCTCTGGCCAACATGGCGTCAGCCACCGTGAGGGTGAGCCGCCTCCTCAGCCTGCCACCCGAGGCCTTCGAGATGCCACTGACCTCTGACCCCAAGCTCACTGTCACCATCTCACCTCCCTTGGCCCACACAGGCCCTGGGCCTGTCCTCATCAGGCTCATCTCCCACGAACTTCGTGAAGGACAGGTACGGCCCCGGCCCAGCGCGCCCCTCCTGCTGCTCACGCTTTCCCGCCCCACGTCACTGTGCGCACAACCCCTCAGAGGAACGAGGCCCAGGCAGGCCCAGCCCGGCCTCACCACCTTGTCCCTCCTCACCCCCAGGACAGCGAGGAACTCAGCAGCCTGGTGAAGTCTGAGGGACCGTGGAACCTGGAGCTGTGGCCCCGGCCGCAGCAGGCGCCCCGCTCGAGGTCCCTGGTCGTCCACATCCATGGTGGCGGCTTTGTGGCCCAGACCTCCAAATCCCATGAGCCCTACCTCAAGAGCTGGGCCCAGGAGCTGGGTGTCCCCATCATCTCCATCGACTACTCCCTGGCCCCTGAGGCGCCCTTTCCCCGCGCGCTGGAGGAATGCTTCTTCGCCTACTGCTGGGCCCTCAAGCACTGTGCCCTCCTCGGTGAGCCCCAGATCCCAGGCCCTGCTGCCGCAGCTCTTGCTCCCACCCCACCCCAACCCGCTTCAACCCCAGCCCGTGCTGCAGGGGAAGTAAACCCTCTAGTTCCTCACGCCTCAGCCTCAAGGCCTCAGCCTGTCCCTTCCCCCTCCTGCCTGGGCAGCTGTGCTCAGCCCACGCCTGTCCACCTTCTCCTTCAGCCACTTCATCACGGCCTCCTGACCCTCACTCACTCGGGGCTCCTCCACCCCCAACCCCGCTGTCCTCCTGCTGTCTCTTCTTGCCTCCCCCAGCTGCCCCAGTCCCTGAGCTGCCAGCTTCCTGGCCCTGTTCTGCAGTTCCTTACAGCCCTCCTTAGAATACCAAACTTTTAGGAAGACATGAAGGCACAGAACGAGGGATCGCCCTGCCCGGGCACATGGTATATCCCTGTGGCCCAGCCCTCTGTGCTATCGGCGTGAACCTCAACCTTTGGCTTCCCAGCCTCTGATGACTCTCTGTCCAGAAATAACCCTGAGATCTCTTTTCCTGCCACCTGCCTTTGGTGCTCCTCCAGCCTCCTGATCCCAGGGCCTCTCCATGTCCAAACTTCCTTCGGTAAACCGCTAACCAAATAGGCCCAAATCCCTGCCTCAGTTTGCCAGTCTAAGACAGCAGGCTGCTAGACCTTAGGGAGGCCCACACCTGTCTGTGAGAGCTCTATGCTAGTCCAGAGCTTGGGATGCTCCCTGTCCTCCTTCCCCCAGTTCCCTGACCCTGCCAGGCTATGCCCAAGGCCTTGCCTTGCCTTTAAACTAGGTTCAACGGGAGAGCGGATATGCCTTGCTGGGGACAGTGCAGGTGGGAACCTCTGCTTCACCGTGTCCCTTCGAGCAGCAGCCTATGGGGTACGGGTGCCCGATGGCATCATGGCAGCCTACCCAGCCACAACGCTGCAGTCTGCTGCCTCTCCCTCCCGCCTTCTGAGCCTCATAGACCCACTGCTGCCCCTCAGTGTGCTCTCCAAGTGTGTCAGCGCCTACGCAGGTGAGACCCACATCCTCCGAGGCGGGCTGCAGGGGAATCCGAGATGTCTTCCCTTTGAATGGATCAGATATTCTTGAGCCCCTGGGGAAATAGATGCCTGAAGTTCTGGGTTGTTCTCCACCTAGAAAGAGGAGACCATTTCAGCCCCATATATTCTGCAGGTGCAGAGACAGAGGACCAGTCCACCTCAGACCAGAAGGCACTGGGCATGATGGGGCTAGTGCGGCGGGACACATCCCTGCTCCTCAGAGACCTCCGCCTGGGCGCCTCCTCCTGGCTCAACTCCTTCCTGGAGCTGAGCGGGCACAAGTCCCAGAAGACACAGGTGCCTGTCGCAGGTGAGTGACAGCCTCCCCTAACACATCCAGCCAGGGCAGTCAGGAAGGATGGTCTGGTACAACAGAAGTCCCAGGGGAGAGAAGGGTCTGAGGCTCCAGGTACACAGTAGAGCAGAGACTGTTTTCCTAGCTGGCTCTGCCGCCAAAGCCATCCTGGTTCTACTACAAAGCCTTGTTTTCTACACCATTTCATATCCTGGGAAGTCCAGAACTAATGGTCCCCCGAGTCATCTCAATTCCAGGAATTGTTTTCTAAACAGCCTCACCCAGCCCTCTCCCTGAGAAATGACTCAGAAGATGTGCTATATGTCCTGATTTCCAGTCCCCAAATCTCCACCCGAGTCCCTTAGGTGAGAGTCCAGCCCTCCTCAATTCTTTTCATGGACCTTTGACAGGGATAACCAGGGCTCAGACCCCCAGCAGCTGTCTGTGAGCCAGGATGGGAGATGAAGAGATGACACAAACCCTGGAAAGTAGAGATTCCCAGTCTTCTTGAGTGAGTGGCAGGACCCTCAGGCAGCCAAAAATCACTTCCATCTGGACATCCACTTTTCCCCGCCATAACTTTTTTTTTTTTTTTGGTACCGGGGTCTCGAACTTGGGACCTTGTGTTTATGAGGCAGGCAGGAGAACAACTGAGCTAAGGTTTGAAGGGTTTTAAAGCACAACCAATTAATTTTCCACCTCTAGTACATCCACAGTATTTTCTGAGTAACAGGAATAGTGCATTCAAAAGTAGATGCAGTTGCAGTTATTCAGAAAATTATTCCAATTGAATGGAATTGTAGGGGCCTGGGATTTAGCTCAGTGGTACTGCCACCTACCTCACAAGTACAAGGTCCCAAGTTCGATCGCTGGTACGAAAAAAAAAAATCTCTGAATGGAATTTTAATTTTACAATCTTCAGACAGATGCAAATATACACACACAGAAAGGGTTAGAAGGAAATTGAGGCATGTGGGCCATAGGGCACCGAAGCTTCCTTGTAGGATAGAGATGACAAGGACGGGCCGTGGAGGCACACGCTGCAGTCCAGGTTCCCCACTCCATGGTGACTTGCTGGTTCTTGAGTGACATGGGCAGGTCACAATACCTGTGAGTTTTGGCTTGCTCCTCTGTGAAATGGGTACTACAAGAGTGCCTGCCTTGTTGGGTCATTGTGAAGACTACATGTATCCACTGTGTCAAAAGCCCAGCACGGTGCCTGGCACACAGTAGGTACTCTTGGAAGATGTTGCTCCCCAGTGCCCTGTGTCAACAATTCCATTCCAATAAGCCTCTGGGTCACAGCACTTAATGTTCTCATTTTCTCTTGAATTTTTGGCCTCATGGATTGATAAAGACAAGTGTAAAAACTGAAATGTAGCATCCATGCCCTAGGGATAAGCAGTATGCCAAAGTTAACAGAGCTGGGACCAAGGTGGACACACTGGGTGAGCCGGAAGCTTACCTTTAGCATCACTTGGGCATGTGTTTGCTTTGTCATTCAAAGAAAAGAGAAAAAACTGAAAAACATGAAAGAGACTTTTGGAAACAGATCCATGGGGCTACAGATGTAGAATCCCTGGGAAACTAATATGCCCTGGAGACTCTTCTTAGCTCCCTATGAACACAACCTTTTCTCAAGCCATGTGGGTCCACTCACTATTCTGGACACTTTGATGCATTCACACTCTTTATATCAAGTGGCCATAAAAAGCTGGGTGGACTTCCTGCTGGGGCAGGAGGCAGCTGGAACAGGGCAAGCCTGGCCGTAAAACCTTAATACTGATATATTATGACTTCCTACAGGGTGTTAGCACTGTATTTAATCCCGTATATCTTATCATGCTGAGTCTTTACATTCAAACACCCTTTGAGGGAGGCTATTTCTATCTCCTTTGTACAAAGGAAGAAAGAGAGATTCCCAGAAGTGTACTGACTTGCCCTTCCCAGTTACATACACACCCTGTGCTAGAAAACAGTCCCACTTCAAAAACCACCTTGCGACTCCCCATGGAAGTGGCTACCTGGGACCCTGGAACTCCTTGCCCCTCCCCCGGGGCAGTCTGGGGAAATGTCCTAGGCCTCCACCCCTGCAGAGGGGTGCAGCTCCTCCTCCACAGGCCCCTGTCCTTCCTATCCGCCACCTACACACCCAGCCCTAGAGACCCAGGCTGGTCTGTGGCCCATCCAGCCCCTGACCCTCCCACAGAGCCAATTCGCCGAAGTGTATCAGATGCTGCCCTGGCCCAGCCAGAGAGCCCACTGGGCACAGATTCCCTCAAGGCGCTGAAAGATCTGAGCCTGAAGGGCAGCTCCGAGTCGCCAGACACCCACAAGATGTCCGAGATGTCACAGTCCCTGGAGACACTTGGCCCCTCCACACCCTCTGATGTCAACTTCTTTCTGCGGCCTGAGGATGCCCAAGAAGAGGCTGAGGCCAAAGAAGGGCTGAGCACCAAGGACAGAGCCCTTGGCAGCAGAGCCACCTTCCCCGAAGGTTTCCACCCACGGCGCTCCAGCCAGGGCGCCACCCACATGCCTCTCTACTCGGCACCCATCGTCAAGAACCCCTTCATGTCGCCTCTGCTGGCACCCGACCACATGCTCAGGACCCTGCCGCCCGTGCACATCGTGGTGAGTGTGGTACTGGGGACGGCCGCGCTAGAGCAGGGTGGGTGGAGCACTGTGCAGGGTGCTGGGAGGGGCCGGAGTGCAGAGTCAAATGCGAGGGCTCTGCAGAGGAAGAAAGGAGGCTCTGGGTGGGGGGAGGCCGGGCGAAGCCAGGGAATTGAGTTAAAACGCATCTCTCCCACTTCTTCCACCTCCACCTCTTCCTCCTTCCCCTCCGAACCCCGCCCCCCATGTCCACGTCCACGTCGTCGGTACCCGACACGTGCGTCCCGCAGGCGTGCGCGCTGG